ATTTGGTTATCTATTCTTCTGTTGATGGACACCTAGGTTGTTTCCATCTTTTGGCTATACAATTATTTTTTAACTTTGAAGTTATAAGATTTGTTCATAAGACTGTCATTGGACATTAGTGCCTGCCATTTTCATTGGGTGTTCCACATTTGGTAAAACATTATAAGCTTTCATTCTTTTCTTTTTTGCTTATTAGGGTGCAGTTCAAGTGAAATCAATATTTACTGACTAGAGTCAACATTTTTGTCAATAATGTCATTTTTTTACACTTAACAGATGCAGTAATTGAACTTGAACATGCCTCTGCATTTCTCATCTAATTTTTTACTTATAAAATTAATGCAATCCACTTTAAAAGTAATTCCTTTGCACTAAATGAAAATGTTATAATTTTCATGTATTAAAAAATTTCAATCACTAATGTCCGTTCTGAAATATGTTGAAAGTTCTTCTGGCCTCATAATCATATAGGCTGAGGATCACATGGTATACCAGTGATCACTTGTATACTTGATTGATACTTTTGGTCAAAGTAAATAAGATTCTCCTGCACAGTACTTCATGGCTAACTGTAAATTATATTAACAAAAATGAAATGTTGTGGTGTTATCCTTCTGTTAGGGTGTTGATCAAAGTGATCATCATACACCAGAAAATTTAATGAGGCACATGATCAAAAGATTTAATACTGTCTTCTTAGTCAGTGGGTATAATCATGATGCAAATTGTTACTGGCTGCTGGCCATGTTGAAATATTTAAGGAACTATGCACTGTATTCTGATTTTCTTATTATATCTTTTTTTTAAGATTGCTGATTGAGACCCAGTGTATTGCAATTTTCAGCTTACAGCCTGAAAAACATTGCTGTAAAGAAATTGAGTCATCTGCTTTGGAAGAATAAGAATATCTAGTGTGGATAGTCTTGGCCCAGCATAGTAGTCTTCATTTTTTGACATGGGAGGGCAGGGTGCAGCCTGGGTGCCTACTCCCACACCAGCCACCAAAGCTAACTGGGCATGGTGCTAAAAAGTCAGGGTCTATTTTTTTACTCAGGGGAAAATCTTTTTGGTTAAATAAATCTGCATGATTGGCAGATGATACCCCTGTCATCTAACAATATTAACCAAACTAAACTTTCATTCATAACATTTGAGAAAAATAGCCCAAAAGATGTGTTCAGATGAGGGTATTTTTATTCAACCTCCTTGTTATGTCTGTCCTAATCAACACATGTGTTTAATTGGCTGTGTTGAATTTTAATTAATTCTTTCCTTATGATGCTCTTTGATACATCTTTCTTCTCTTCCTGGAGATTCAATTAGATGAATGGTATTCCTCAGGGACAGATCCTTCCTGATAACATGTCCAAAGTATGTGAGACAAAGTCTCACTACCCTCACTTCTAAGGAGTATTCTGGGTGTACTTCTTCCAAAACAGATTTGCTCATTCTTTTGGCAGTCCATGGTATACTCAAACACCATAATTCAAAGGCATCAATTCTTCTTCCTTCTTCCTTATTCAGTATCTACTTTTCACATGCATAGGAGGTGATTGAAAATAAAATGGCTTGAATCAGGTGCACCATAGTCCTCAAAGTGATATCTTTTTTTTTTTTTTCCCCAGCACATTAAATAGGTCTTTTGTAGCAGATTTGCCCAATAAAATATATCGTTTTATTTCTTGACTGTTGCTTCCATGGATCCAGGTAAAATGAAATCCTTGACAATTGCAATCTTTTCTTCATTTATCATTATGTTGTGAGGGTTTTTGTTTTCTTTATGTTGAGGTGTAATCCATACTGAAGATTTTTATCAGTAAATGCTTCGAGTTATCTTCACTTTCAGCAAGAAAGGTTGTGTCATCTGCGTATTGCACGTTGTCAATGAGTCTGACTCCAATCCTGATGGCACATTCCTCTTCATATAGTCCAGCTTCTAGGATTATTTGCTCGGAATACAGATTGAATAAGTATGGTGAAAGGATAAAACCCTGACACACCCATTTCCTGATTTTAAACCATATGGTATCCTTTTGTTCATGGTATCCTTTTGTTCTCTTTGAGCAACTGCCTCTTGGTTTATGTACAGGTTGCACATGATTGGAATTAAATGCTGTGGAATTCCCATCCTCCACAATGTTACCCATAATTTGTTATGATCCACACAGTAGAATGCTTTTGCATAGTCCACAAAACAAAAGTGAACATCTTTCTGGTATTCTCTGCTTTCAGCCAAGATCCATTTGACATTAGCATTGATAGCCCTCATTCCATATCCTCTTCTGAATCTATCTTGGATTTCTGTCAATATATTGTTGCAACCATTTCTGAATTATCTAGAGCAAAATTTCACTTGTATGTGATATTAATGACATTATCTTTTAATTTCTGCCTTCTGTTGGATCACCTTTCATTAGAATGGGCACAAATAGGAATCTCTTCCAGTTAGCTGGGAAGGTGCCTGTCTCCTAAATTTCTTAGCATAGATGAGTGGGCGCTCTTGAGTGCTTTCTAACCTGAGCACCAGATCAGACAATGTTCTACCAGTAGTCATGAGGTTTACAATGGCCTTTTTTTTTTTTTTTTAATTGTGATTTGGGTGAAAGTTTACAGAGCAAATTCACTTTCCATATGGCAGCTCACATACATTTTGTCTCTTGACATTGACTGCAATTTCCCACAATGCAACAGCTCCCCTCCCACTTCCTCCCATAGTTTCCTCTTCCCTGTGTCCTTCCCTCCCATGCACTCCTGCCCCCTGAGCTATCTCCCTGTGCATACACAGCCTTTATATTCTCCCATAATTGATCTCACCAAAGAGTGTATCTACCTAATGTAAATGTTCAGCTCATATGCCTGTCTTTTGTTTGGCTGGAAGCTACAAGAGTGGGTTCAATTCCAGACCTGAGGGGCAGCTAGGGGCATAGTCTCAGGGCTTCCACCAGGCTCTATCAGACCAGCAAACCTGCCCCCCCCCCTTTTTTAAATGATTTTGCGTTTTTTTCCACATTGTTCTCCCACTATATCCAGGATCTCCTACATAGATCCCCCTCTGAATGGTTGACAGTGGTAGCCGGGCACCATCTAGTTCTTCTGTCCTCATAGTCGTATAGGCTGAGGATCACATGGTGTACCAGTCCCTTGGACTAATTGTTTCTATGCATCTTTGGTTTTCTTCATCATTCTTTGCTCTGGATGAGGAGAGACCCATCATTGCATCTAGATGGCAGCTTGCAAATGGCCATTTTTTTTTTTTTTTTCAGTAGATTTCAAAACCCTCTTTCCTAGTCTCTCTTAGTCTGGAAGGTCTGCTGAAACCTGTCCATGATGGGTGACACTGCTAGTATTTGAAATACCAATGGCATAGCTTCCAGTATTGCAGCAACACGTAAATCACCACAGTACAACAAACCAGCAGATGAATGGTGGAATCCTCTGTGCCTAGTACGAATAAAGGGTTGATAAAACCCTTCTCTTTCAACATGAAAAATTGACCTTGTAACACATCTAGCTTTCACAGTTGAGTGTGAATTCTTCTTCTTCTTCTTCTTTTTTTTTTTTTAAGGAAACCTTATATGTGTGGAATGAACCTAAATGGTGTATTAAAGGAATTTCTCTGCCTGAGAAAAAGTTGTCAACCTGTGAAACAGTTGACTTTTGGCTAAAAGTGGGAGCAGGTGTGGGAGCTTTTACAGCTGTTTTGTTGGTGGCTCTAACTTGCTATTTCTGGAAGAAGAATCAGAAGTAAGTAACCTTGTTGGAATAACCACATAAGAGCTGGAGGCTCTGTTTTGTTATGAAAATTTTAGATTTAGTCATTGTATCCAGAAGGTTTTTTCATAGACACAAAACATTTCTCCTAGTAATAGAACTATAGGAAAGGCCTTTAAGAAAGCAAGCACAAGGAATTTTATTCTTAATAGAGAGTTCATAGAATGTCATTGATCATTGAATTAAACCCATTTATTATGCAGACTAAGAAAAACTGAAGCCTCCCATTACTCAGGTAGATGGCAGCACACCTGAGATGAGAAGGCAGATTTTCTTTCTGTGTCTGTTCTTTTTATGACATCATGCTGTCTTCTTGACCCCTTTTTATTTTTCAATTTCTTGCATATGTTTTCAGAGAAACAGAATAAGTATACAGACAAATATCATTTATTTACTTCAGACTCAGAGTCTAGAGTTGAATATTGAGTCTAACCATTGAATATATATTGATTTGTTACATGATTTGAATCTTTTAAAATAATTTACATGTCAATGGTGTTGTGAAAGTCCAATATGGTAATATCTAGAGACAATTGTAATATCTAGGATGCTAAGTATAAATGAATAAATGATATATAGCAATAGCAATAGTAAAGACCAAGTCATTTGCCTGTTTGGTATTTTTGTATTTCAGAACTATGAACAGTCTTATAGTTACTTAGCTTCCAAATATCTATAAATTAAGAAAAGGCATTCAGACCTCTGGGTTTCTCTGTTTTCCAAAAGTTCTTTGTAATTCAATCAATGTAAAAAAATGGTAGAGTTAACTGTTTTGCACTGCCTTTCTGAAATTCTGGAAAATATTTGAGGGTAAATGGTGGATAAATAAGGAACTCTGGTGGTGCGATACCTAAGGCATCTGACTGCTAACCAGAAGGTTGGCAGTTCAAACTACCAGCAGCTCTGCAGAAGGAAGATGGGGGAATCTACTTCTGTAAAGATTTACCATCTTGGGAACCCAATGGTGGTCACTATGAGTTGGAATCAACTTGATTGCAGTGGGTTTTGTTTTTGGTTTTTTTAATGGATAAATGAATGAACACATAACAAAGCTATACGTGAGGGGAAACTATTGGTGAGCAATTATACTTGAAAACAATTTAATGATCTGGAGTATGCCCACCTAGCAGAAGCATTAATTCATATTAAAAAAAAATTCCACTTATTTCTGTATTTACTTATTAATTAATTTATTTATTTATCTTTTAATCACTCCTCAGACTGGAGTACAAATACTCCAAATTAGTAATGACGGCTAACTCAAAAGAATGTGAACTCCCAGCTGCAGATAGTTGTGCTATCATGGAAGGAGAAGATAATGAAGAGGAAGTTGTATATTCCAATAAACAGTCACTACTGAGAAAACTCAAATCTTTGGCAACAAAGGTAAGAAGAGAATGTTTAGCCTGCTATTACTGTGTATTTATAAATTAGGGGCCATGTTATTCTTACAATAGCATTCATGCAAGTCCTTTGATTCATCAGGTCTATATCTTAGTGAATATTTATAGTAGTACAAAATGATGTAAATTTAAGAATATTCATTGCAGCTGACCCAGATGACCTGATCAGCAGCTAGGATTTGTTCGCCAGTTTTTAGAAACAAAGAAGGATATCTTTTATCTGCTAGTCTTTAGTTTCCCAGTTGGCAGACCAAACAGCTAGACCATTGACAGTAGCACAAGGAAATGAAAATATAAGATTCATTAAGGAAAGTGTTGACTAGACCTAGGAGAATGACTTTGAGTTCTGCTCACTGAGTCCAGTGATCTCATCCATTTTATTTTCAGACCAGTGCAATAGCCTAGTGGATCCCTTGGGTTTCAGTTTAGCTGAACCATTAGTGAACAAACCCCAGGCATTTAAGGGGAACATCAGTGAATCAAGGGTCCCAATGGGCCAGTGCTTTCTTTTAGGTGTAGAGCAAGGGATAAAATTTTCCCCAAAGGGTAAAACCAAAATCACTGGCATCAAGTAGATTCTGACTCATAGTTACCCTATAGGATAGAGTAGAACTGCCCCACAGGGTTCCTAAGGCAGTAAATCTTTATGGAAGCAGACCGCCACATCTTCTTCCTGCAGAGTGGCTGGTAAGTTTGAACCACTGACTTTTTGTTTAGCAGCCAAAAGCTTTAAGTACTGTACCACCAGGGCTCCTCTCAAAAGGTAAGGATGCCACTTTTTATTACGACAAGCTCAGATGCTTCTGGGAAAAGACCAGCTGCATTCTTGAATATACCATTTTAATTTGACAAGTGAGTTCTTGGCCCCTTCCCATCTTGTTGACCCACTACAAATGGGACAGTCAGACCATAGTTTCATAAGGTATGCCTGGGAAAGGCATTCAGATTTTAACATGAGCCCAGTCACAAGCTAATGGCAACTTTTCAAAAGGGGTGTACGTGGTAGCTGTGTCCAGGAGGTGATGAATCCAAAACCCCAAAGGGTGTCACTGGTGGGAGACTACTTCCATTTGGTAGAGTATCTAAGTGGTAAAATCATCAGTCATAGAGAATTGTTGCCCCAGGGTTGAACTGATGCAGATTGCCTCGTGGACAAGGTAGTCCTCCTGCCCAGAGAAGAATGAACCATACCTAGTACATCATTCAGGCAGCTGGTTTTGAACCTACTTCCCTGCACTTACCCAGCATCCATCTCTCCAGTTCTTCTCCATTCCCAGGAATAAAAGGGAGGATATTGATTGCTTGGATGACCATACAATTGGCTTAGCATGTTTACCATTGATACCTGTGGATTTCTCTCAAATATTACTAATCAGTCCAGGAGGCACCCTCATCCTTTGCCAGAAAACCACGTATATATCAGTTTCCCATTTTTATCATCAAAATAATGAAAAACTGTGAAGGCTTTTTAAATTTTACCCTATTTGCTAGTTAACAAGTTAGCCTGCTACAGTTTCATGGATATTTTTGAAGGCGTGACCCATCTAGGGTAGAAAGGAAACACAATTTAGTACTAACAGCAATATCAGTAGGCAAAATATCAACATTTGCTTTGAGTCCTCAAATCTCAGTTTCCACAGAACTAAGCAAAGAGGACCGGGTGACACCTGTACAAACAGTGGGTTGCTTTATAGGAAAGGAACACTTAGCTTGGGGAACCTGACTTTTTTATAACAGGAAGTAAGCATGTCTGCCATTTACTCCAGAGAGAGAAAATACCTCTATCTTCCGAGCCATTTTTCATACAAATATCTTTGAGATTGCCTAGAACAAAGGGCTATCAGTGATTTTATCACAAGACATGTAAAAATACAAGAGACCCATTGAAAATTATCTGCCAAGACAGATTTGCTCAGACTTCTCTTGATTCCATGTATCTCCATTTTTAAGGGCTTTCTTGTAGTAGTGAGGGAAGTGCTTAGGCAGTAGAGAAGATTTTTAATTGAAAGTGAGCACTAAACTGAATCTTAAAGAATAAGAGAACTATTCAAGGGGAGAGGGTATGTAAACATATTACATACACTTTTAAAAATTCCTCATTCATAGTACCTCCTGTGTTAGAGAATTTCAAGCTTAGAAAGGTTCTCTACAATAATCACAGGACACAAGAGAGGATAAAGGTTTTCTCCCTGAGAAGGTTCAGTGTAGCACATTTTATTTTGAAAGCCAATTTCAGTCTATAGTATTTTTTCTACTATTTAAAATGAAATTTTGAAATATTACAGAAGTATTAAAGAAAATTTGAAAGAACTTTATAGTGAACAGCCTTATACCTACCATCTAAATTTTATTACCTTTGATTTATTAAATATCTCTCCATCTATCCACCCGTTTATCAGTCTTTTTTTTCATGATGTATTTCAAAGTAAGTTGCAAATTTCAATGTATTTCACTCCTAAAAATTTCAGAATACATATATATAATTGATTGTTATTGACAAGAATTAAATATTTTAAGGTTTTTAGAGGAAAATTTTTGCATGGAGTGAAATGTACAAATCACAAGTATACCATTTAAGGGATTTTGAGAAATGTATTGTGATGGTTAAGTTTGTGTGTCAACTTGGCTGGGCCTGGTTGAGTGGCTGGGCAGCTAGATGTAGTATTCCCCATGATGAGAGTGGTAATCAGCTCCATGGTGGAATCTACTGAGAGAAGCTGAGTAGCTGCCATTGGGTATGTGGTCTGCTTCCCATATATAAGAAACAGCTTCGGGAATTGTGTCTAGCTTATGACATGATTGAACCCTGCATGTAGCCATGTTGTTGTTCAGCAGTCTGCCATGCTCTGCTGACGTAGGGATTTTCAATGGACTTAAATTAATGACCTGCCATGTCATTTGGTAACATCAAGACTGTGCCTTTTTACTTGTCAACCTTGGGCTTATCAGTCTCAGCAGCTAGCAGCTGCCTGATTGAAGAAAAGCTTCTAGCTGCAGTGGACTGGGAACAGGAGGAAGAACAGAAGCCCAAGGTGGAGGGGCTTTCACCCAGCCCCTAGAGCCTGGCACTTTGAACTTGGACTTAAAGCCACCCAATTGTAAGAATAAACTCCTGTTTGTTAAGGCCATCCCTTTTGTGGTATATTTCTGTTAGAGCAGCACTAGGTAACTAGAATATGTATAAATCAAAAGCTCACTGCCATGGAGTCGGATCCAACTCATAGCGACCCCTCCTTGAGTTTCCAAGGCAGTATCTTCCAAGGCAGAGTTAGATTGCCCAACATTTCTTTTGAGGAGTGGCTGGTAGGTTTGATCTGCCAACCTTCCGGTTACCAGTCAGATAGATGCCTTAGGCACCACACCACCAGAGTTCCTTATTCTACTGTATAGATACGGCGAAATTTGTTTTAACTATTGTTTTATTCATTGATACATCAGTACTGTTTCCAGTGTTTGTCTATGTTATGCATGATTTCTTGGAGCAAAGAAGTTTATAAGTTTATTAATATTTGCATTATACAAAGTTTGCTTTATTTTATTTATCTTAGTCTGTGTTCTAAAGGTTATACATTATTTGGTATTTCCCTAGCACTGCACTGGGGTTTTGGGGCTTTATAGTTTTTTTGTTTTTCAATTGACTCTGGGCTCAGCAATTTGTTTCTTTAATATATTTCAGTTGTTTCTTTCATTTGTTAAATCCAAAGTCATTTATGAATACTTTGTGTTAGCCACTTTGCCAGGTTTTGGGGATCTTTCAAATAGAACACAGTCCCTTATTTCAAGGAGTTTCTAGTTTGTTGCACAAATCAATCTCTCTTTCTCTTACACACATCCACACACAAATGAGCAATGAATATGGTTGCTTGGAGCAAAGAGGAGAGGGAGTGTGGTTGGGTGCATAGTGACAAGATAAGGCAAAGCTTCTGGGAGAATTTGGCTTTTGAATAGATTCTTGATTTCAGAGCTTGAAGGGATAATCTTACATGGCATCCTTATTTAATGCATCAGTAAACTGAAACCTAGAGAGATTCACTTACTTGTCCAAGGGCATTAGATAGGAATTAGAAGCCACATCTCTTGATTTACAATCTATTTTTTTCCCTTCTAAAATGTGGTGTTTCAACACATTTGTATAACCATTGATTGAGCATTTACCATTGGCTGGGCCCTGGGTCATATCTTAGGAACTTAAAAATGGATACAGATCTTGTCATCAGGAAGCCCACAGTCAATTAAGAGAGCAAACCATACATATTGATATTATACTATGCCAGTGACAGGAGCAAAATCCCCTGTTAGGGCTGAAGGCATGGCAACAAAAACCCTATGAACGCAACATGGTTTTATGAAGGACTTTCAATGTTTTACTTTAAATGTTACCTTGAAGATAACCAATAGGTCACACGTCCCCCTCCAGGAAAATGTTGAATCAAATCTTCTTGAAGGAAAAACCAAAACCAAACCCAACCCACTGCCATCAAGGCGATTCTGACTCACAGTGACCCCCATCAGGTTTCCAAGGCTATAAATCTTTATGGAAGTAGATTGCCTCACCTTGCTTCCATGGAGCAGCTGATGGGTTCAAACCACCTACTTTTTGGTTAACAGCTTAGTGCCTTAACCACAGAGACATAAGATCCTTTAAAGAAAAGACAACAGTCAATCTCAGATTCCTTTTCTAGTTCATGGCCAGTAGCCTGAGTGTTTTCCTATAATGTGGTGTGATCTCCTTGAAGGCAGACATTTCCTTGTGCTCACTTTTGTATCTCTAAAGTCTAGTCCGGTTTCTGGAATACTATGGGTGTTTAATAAGTAATTGAATTATGGATGGTTATACCAAAAAATTGTTATGGCAGATTAATGTGAGACTTCAGACAAGTCCTTCCTGAGCCAGTCAGCTAGAGTGCTAAGGAAATCTTCACTCTGCTCTCCCAGGGGCTTGTCATCGCAGCAGAAGAAGATGAAAACTGATATGTTGGTGCACTTGCTGTGATTTTTTTCTACAATCCTGTCCCCATAGCCCTAACTCCAGTCTAATGTCTTGGACTTCTCTACTCAAATGAGAGAAAACACGAAAGCAAATTTACTCTTCCTGACAGCCGCTCAATGTCAGCTTCCTATTATTTTCTCATTTTACTCCTGTACTTATAGATCCACACTAGCTATACCTATACTAGTCTCCCTTGTATTTCTCTTATTTTATTAAAAAAAAAATGTAATTTTATTTCTCTTCATCTTTATTTCCCTCAATAGCACCCACCACATTCCAGCAGCCTTTAGAAGGTTTTACTCATTCTAACAATGAAAATGTTGGGGGAAATCCCACCTCTTATTTCTCTTTTTCCCCTTGAAAAAGAATATATTTTTTTAATAGACCACATTTTGAATTATTATCTAACAATTATCAGCAATAACATATTTGACTTAAGTTTTTGATTTATTATCTAAGATGGCTGGTTTGCTATCTTTCACTCAGTCAACTCACTGCCCTTGAGTGGGTTCCAACTCATAGCGACCCCTTTTGGGTTTCTTAGGTGGTATATCTTTATGGAAGTAGATTGCCCAGTCTTTCTCCCTCAGAGTGGTTGGTGGATTTGAACTACCAATCTTCTGGTTAGCAGTCAGATGCCTTAGGCACTATGCCACCAAAACTCCTTTTATTATCTTTAGTAGGCATGTTGGTGTTGTGTGTCTTAAAGGAGCTCTGGTAGCGTAGTGCCTAAGGCATCCTTCCTAGGAGGGGCTAGTGGGTTTGAACCATCAGAAGGCTGATGGTTCAAACCCACTAGCCCCTCCTCGGAAGGAAGGTTGGGCAATCTACTTCTGTAGTGATACTGCCTCGGAAACCCAAGGAGGGGTCGCTATGAGTTGGATCTGACTTGATGACACATAACAGCAGCAACAACAGAGACATGTTATTGTTGTTTGTGGAGTCAATTCTGACTCATAGTGACCCTACAGGACAGAATGGAAATGTAATCTTTCTGGGACTCATAAAGAAACCCTGATGGCTCAGTGGTTAAAATGTTTGACTGATAACTGAAAGGTCAGTGGGATCATTGAGTCAGAGTCAGGTTGATGGTTTTGGTTTAAATCTTTACAGAGGCAGACTGCCACATCTTTCTGTCCTGGATAGGCTGGTGGATTTGAACTGCAGACCTTTAAGTTCATAGCCAAGCACTTAGCACTTAACCACTGCACTACCGAGACATGTATTCAGAAGATTTTCCTAAAAGGTGTCAGTGAACCCAGATGACCTTATGTCTCACTGATGTTGTCCTTATTTATTTTTGCTGTCTGTTTTCTTTTAATCAGTCTCTGGTATCTTGAGAATATGTAGTTTCTGTCAGTTCTGTTTTGTCCATTCTTAGCATAGCAAGGTCATCTATTTCAGCACCCAGTTCGAGTGTCCCCTTAGGAAGAGTCTCAGTGCTTTAGTCTCAGGAATCACAGCTACATCTTTTGGTATATCTCGTAATTGTGTGTTTACTTCTATTTTGGATTTATCTGTCTTATCTCCTGGACATCAAAGACACCCTTCAGGGTAGGCATCCTATCTGTTTTATATCTGCCACCCACCTTTAAATGTAAAATCCTAATTACAAGTGACAGGCACATAGATTAAAATAATTCCTAGAACTTTCCTTCTGGACACTTAAGGTCCTAAAATCTTACTAGAATTTTAGTGAGTTGATTTTATTTTTTTCCTTATAGGAAAAAGAAGACCATTTTGAATCTGTTCAACTGAAATCCTCAAGATCTCCAAATATATGAAGAGACAATGCTGTAGCCTTCAGACTAATGAACAAAGAAACCACTTTCTGGTTTTACAGGACCACATTTTAGAACCTGGCACCTATCACACTGGTGATCTTGTAGAGGAGGACTAAGCCGCAGAAAAGGAAAAGAGGTTGAAATGTTTGATTGCCTTATCACATGGTCAAGTACCTTGCCCATAAAGGAAAGCAAATGGTTTGGGTCTCAACTGAAGATGAAGCTCAACTCAGGAAGAGATATATCTGTATATAAAAACATAATTGAAACCCAGTTTAAACCCACCAGTGCACTGCTGATGCATGCCATGTGATTAATGGGTAACTTTCCTGTGTAATATCTACAGAGAAAGTGCTTGGAGGGCAGACGATGTGAGCATATGCTTTGTGATCCTATCCATGCCTCTTCTTTGTTTATATCTTGGGGAATATTTGGGAAAAAAAAAAACCTTAAGGTATAGTTATTTTCCCCATTATTTATTTTCCCAACAGACCTTAAAACATCTTTTGTATTAATAATGGTGAGCAATGTAAAGACAATAAATTTTTCATTTTTCCACAGAATATGTTCTCTTGATTTCAGAAATCTAAGTTATCAGTGATTTTTTAAAGGAAGAGACAGCATATCCATGGGTTATCCAAATTTATAATCTTCTTTGAAATTCCATCTGTTGGAACTGGTAAGAAGGGCTTGCCTGAAAATGTCGAAGGAATTAAAAATAAATAAATAAAAGACAAGGAGAATCCTTGAATTTCCATTCATACAAATGACCTAATGACCTAGCACTATCAGATGGGAAGTGATTTAAAACAGTTTATTTAGTGCTTGAAATATAATTTAAAATAAATCAGATGGCTTGTTCATCCAATCATTTGCATAGAAAATGGGATGACTTTAAGTACAGATAATTGTAAAAAGGTATTGGAATAGTTTTGTGGTCTCCAGAAAATCGAAGTGTGACATTCATCCCACTTCAAGCATCATTTTCAAAGATTATATGGTTATTTTTCTTCTAGAAGACTTTAAGGATTAAGACTTCATTAGAAGTTTTTTTTTTTTTTAAGCCAGTAAGGCAGGAATTTTTGGAAAATTGCATATGCCTGTATTTATAATCAGAATGTGGTTGCACCATTAGCAATTAATGCAGTAAGTGTTGTTCTTATTGAAAAGTGATCCGAATAATTGTGATATTTCTCATGATGATTACTAGCCTTGGCGCTATTTAGATATTTATTGAAAGAAGTTTGAATGAAGTTGGATCCGACCAATTTTGTGTAATCAATAGCTGGGAAAAGAGGAGAGTTTCCTGGTCATTAGTGACCTACGGTGTTCTGGTTTGTGTTATCAAAACACAGTAATCTCTGTAGGTCTTAATCTCAAATTTCAGAAAGACTAGTGATTGGCTGAAAGAGGTATATGAGTAGGGTTAGCTGAATATTTTTGCCCCACTCATTTCAATGAGGTGTAACTTGTAACTTTCAACTCATCTGGTGATGTCTTTATTTATGTGGAAAATGGGAGAAAAATAAATAATTGCATTTATTTGGCTGGTTTGTGAAACACTGGACCATTCTGGTACTGTTGAATGAATGTTTGTTTTGTTTACATATCTACTGTTGCATACATGAGTATAGGTTGAAATTGCCATTATTTTATTTTTTGTTGTGGGATTCCAGAGGTCTCACTTAGCATGAACATTTTTTTGACTTTTAGTTTCTTGAATCTATTTATAAAGAAGAAATTATTTTGGCATTGCTGATTTTTATCCTGCCAACAGAGTGCTGATGAGGCTTTCCCCATTTGACAAAAATTTGAACAGAAGAAGGAAAATACATTTGAAATGCACTCTTTCAGAGAAAGCCTGGCAAAGTTGTACAATACTGGACAGAGTCAGGAAGTTCCCACATACTCACTGTCATCTCTCTCCTCATCTTCAACTGTGCTCAACATGGATGTTCCAAGTCACAGAGATAATTGGAATTTGCTCCCAAGTAGCTTCTTTCTTCTGTCACTGGACTAAAATCTCTGACATGTCAAAAATGCCTTAAATTTTAATGAACTCTCTGAAAATATAGTTGATATTGAAGAATTTATTTTATTTCTAATTTTAGATATTAAATAGATTGTCAGCTCAGTCCTATCTTTGGAAAGGTGCTGTGTTTTTTTCCTTTGGATCCTAGTGGTTTGTCATTTTATTCCAAGTGCTGAAGATGTATGACAGTAAGAATATTCTGAAGAGAATATTTAGATCAATCCTGTCTATAAAATTTACATTAGTATCATGCAGGGCTTCAAACAGGTTCAATCCGTTTTGACCCCTCCGGCTGTGAATTTGCATTTCCACCCTGGATACACTGGATCAAATCTAGGTTTTGATAGGATCCCCAGATGATTCTTACAGATCTCCAGGATCTTGTTAAATATAGATTTTGATCCAGTATGTCTTGGGTGGAAATGCAAATTCTCAGCAGAGAGTTGCACTGGTTCAAAGCCCAGGCTTTATGTCTGGACTTTATGAAACTCAATGGAAAGTTGAAAGGCATGAACAAATTAATCATGTTCTTATGACTTTTAATTGTCATTTTTTTTTTGTTTTTTTCCTCCTAAGTGATAAGAAAAGAGGCTATTTTTAAAAATTTTTCATAAAAGGCAGTTCTGATGCCTTAAATACTTAATTAAGTCCACTCTTGCCTATAGCATCTCTTAGCATTCTGTCAAAACATATTTAAATCTATTTTCCACTGGATGAGAACACATCTTCTATGGATAAATTATATCATACTGCTTAATGTTGAGCAATTTGATATGTGTTAACTTGATTAAAAAGACTGAATTTTGTTATTGTTGACTTTTCACTTCTATGGTTACCAGTAATCAGGTCCTTTCTAGGATTAAAAATATTTCATAGTATTTTTGTGTAGACTTTTGTCATTCTTTATTTTACCAAGGAGAGAAGATTGTTTAAATTGGTTATATGGGAGAATTATTTGTGTCCAGTCAGTTACTAACAGAGATCTCCAGTACTCCAGGTGGTAGGTAATGATTAACTGTGCTTCCTCAAGACCAAATGACTGACTGTCATTTGACTTCTGTCAATCCAGCTATTTCCTGTAACTCATGCTCATTCCTAGTGGGAAGCTAATGTGAAAATCATTTCTCTCCTCCATATGAAAATAAATTTCCTGGGAGTTGGGGTGAACAGATCACTCCATTGACTATGTTGTCAGTGTGTTCCTCACATTTACCTTTTAACACTAAAGGTGTATGAAGTGGATTCTTCAGAGGACCTGAAATATTATCACATCTATTTTATAATAACCATAAATATTATGCCAGGTTTACAGGCTCAAATGAAGGTGGCTCTAAAGAAAAGTTTCCAAGGAAAATAAACTTAAAAGAAAAAACTAAAAATCTCAATAACTCATTTATTCCTTGGACGCTGAAATGGAGGTCACCTTCATAGTAACTGATAAGGGATTAGTTGCTGGCTGGATTTTCTTTTGGCTTAACATTTTCAGATAAGTCGAGTTTTCTGTAAAAGATTGGATGGCAAATGCTTTAGGCTTTGCAGGACGTATAGTCTCAGTTGAAACTGCTCAAATCTACACTTTGTAGCATGAAAGCAGCCATAACAGTATGCAAATGAAGGAGTGTGGCTGTGTTCCAATAAAGCTTTGTTTACAGACACTGAAATTTGAATTTCATCTATCATGAAATATTACTCTTTTGATTTGTCTCCAACTATTTAAAAATATAGAAAGACTCTTTACTTGTGGGCCTTACAAAAACAGGTGCCAGGCTGGATGTGGCTGTAGTTTGCTGACTGATTTGGATCACTCACTGCAAGCCACCATAAGCCAGGGCTTTGAACTCATTCTAAGTGTTTCAGTAATTGCTGTCGTAAACAAGGGCTACACATACATTGCATAGCAACCAAATCTGTTGTGACATGAATAGGAAACAAACAGTTGTGCCCCACTCAAAGATGGTGGCTGACCATGCTGCTTTGAATGTGTGTGGCTCTCCACAGTCCTGCCAATAATCCAATCTCTTGTATCAGGCTTCTGAAATTTTCAGAGGGAAGGACTGTGGCAGGAATTTGGAAAACAACATTATTGGGAGCAAAAAGCAATTAAAAAGACAGGAAAGAAAGTATAGAGAAAAATGTCAGAGGAGCCTGAAACTTGCTCTTGAACAGATAGTAGCTAAAGCAAAGGGAAGAAATCATGTAAAAGAGCTGAACAGAGATTTTGAAGGGTGACTCAAGACAAAGTATTATAATGAAATGTGCCAAGACCTGGAGTTAGAAAACAAAAAGGAAGAGCATGCTTGGCATTTCTCAAGCTGAAACACTGAAGAAAAATTTCAGGCCTTGAACTGCAATATTGAAGGATTCCAAGGGCAAAATATTGAATGATGCAGAAAGCATCAAAAGAAGATAGAATACACAGAAACACTATCAAAAAGAATTGGTCAATCTTCAGCCATTTCAGGAGGTAACATATGATCAAGAACCAGTGGTACTGAAGGAAGAAGTCTAAGCTGCTCTGAAGGCATTGGTGAAAAATGAGGCTCCAGGGATTGACAGAATATCAACTGAGATATTTCACCAAACAGATGTTACATTGAAAGAGCTCACTCGTCTGTGCCAGGAAATTGGAAGACAGCTGGCCAACCAACTGGAAGAGATCCATGTTTGTGCCCATTCCAAAGATCCCACAGAATGCAGAAATCATTGAACACTCTATTAATATCATGCACAACTGAAATTTTTCTGAAGATAATTCAAATGTGCTTGTAGCAGTACATTGACAAGGAACTGCCAGAAATTCAAGCCAGATTGAGAAGATGACATGGAATGAGGGAAAACATTGCTGATGTCTAGTGGATCTTGGCTGAAAGCAAAGAAAACTAGAAAGATTTTGTCTTTGCTTTATTGACTATGCAAAGGCATTTGTGTGGACCATAACATATTATGGCTAATATTGTGAAGGATGGGAATTCCAGAAGACTTAATTTTGGAGCCTGTACATAGACCAAGAAGCAAGGAGATAGTGCATGGTTTAAAATCAGGCAAGGTGTGCATTAGAGTT